CTCGGGGCCACTCGAACATGCCACCCATCAACCGACGCATCATGGGTCTCTATACATGAAATACCCCGGGGCAATGCAACACACCAATAGCACCTCATTTGAATTCGCTTCACAATCATGGCAAAAGAAACTATCACCCTCCCTCTCTGTGTCATACACACGCATGCCCTCGGGCACGACTGGACGCAGTCAGCACCAGCTCTGGCTTCGCCGGTGACCTCTGCTGCCTGAGAGAGCAACTCCGGGATTTGTGCACAATAAAACCCGCACTTGTGTAACTTCCGCCTTGTACCTACAACTTCGGATTCGGTCTGATGATTGTAGTGTTCTGAGTACTCTCACCAGCTCGAAGCCACAACTTGCTTCCAGCAGTCAGTTGGCCCATTAATTGAAAAGACTGCAGACTCTAGAGGACAACGACATTGTTGAGATACAGTGGCGCCAATTACGGAACGTCATCCACTCCACCACCCTAGGCATCCTTAATTGCCCACACCATTAATTCCATAATTTGCTCCAAGACAACGACGAATAAATCTGCGACATGCTCACCGAGAAGAATAGATTACGCAAAGCAAATATTGAATGCCATACCAACGCAAGCAAAGACGTCTACTTCCGATGTCATCGCAGCAACGACTAGGGAATTTTTAGAATGGTTGCATGGAGAGCAAGGTTGAGAAAATCCAAGGGTAAGCGGGCTGCAACGAAACTAACTTCGCTCTATCAAGGTAGGCTATGATCACCGCCCCTCTTTCGTCAGAGAAAGCGCATCGTCGATGAAACAACACTTCTGACTCAGACGCCCTGGTCCAAATCCTTCAGAAATAGCTTTAACCGTCCATCCATGATCACTTACGTCGCCATCGATGAGTGAAAACGAACAATGACATGAATTCCCTGCCTGACTTTTCAGAAAAAATGAGTCATTCATCAACTGTTCAACGGGAAGGCCTGGGATCTTGCTCGAATCCCTCTCAATTGTCTCAATAATCATCTGAAACATGGACTTCTACCAGGGAACTAGTGTACCTTTCAAGAACACCACGGAGCAACAGAGAGGTCAACATGGCCTTCACCATCCAATAGTTACGAGTGCCAAGAAATGCGGACCCACCCTATCACCACTATCGTGGAGCTGATGAGAAGTTTCAACACTGTGAGGCGCGATGGACTCTAGACACTAACGTATAAATATGATTGTCCTGAACGTTTGATAATGCCCTCTGGGCGTTTAAAATATAAGTAGAATAAACCAGTGGTGACAGCGGCAACGACAGGCCGGCACTTGGCAACAAAATAGGAGGGTAAATCACACAAGTGTTGCGCATAGTTCCTAACTATCTAGTCCTTCTACGCAATGTTAAGAAAAAGCTAGTTGATATCTAAATAGACAATGTAGATTGCAGGAAAAACGGGCATAGGCCACGACTCTCACTCTCCGAGGTGCACTCCAAGATCAAGAAAGAACACCTACTCGTATGCAAGAAAAACCCAATCGAGAGTCCAAAAAGGCTTTCGTTTGGAGCCAAATTACAAGTTCTAATTGTAGACGGAAAGATGTAGACTGAAATCTTCAGGCATAATTATCTAACTTTACCTTCAGAAGGTATTCATAATAGCTGTCCCCACGGGCTCCAAGGGTAATCGTATTCATGCCTCCAACTTCACCAGTGTCAGGATCGAGTGAAATCGGAAGCAAGCCGCTGTCTTTCTGAATTCCGTGTAAAATTTGTAGAACTTTTGCGGGTAAACGCTAGAGAAAAGTATTTCGAGGGAAGAGTTCATGAAAATTAATTTAACTTTAAGGAGCAAACCGAAAAGTTTTAAATAAACCGCTATGAACCATCACCACAAATTCTTCCAGAGTAAATGTATAGATTGACTACAACCAGAGCGAAGCTACTCAATTTAAATCTTCGCCAAAGAAATCTTGTGTTTCAATGGCTAAGGGTTGTAATAACAAAGGAATGGAGTGGTTAGCATCACTATTTATACGGGTTTTTGAATAATGGTAAGCTGCTTCTAAATTTCATAAGTCTCTGAAATTTAAAAAAAAACGGTGTGGACATTTTCCTTATACCAATTCATACTAAATCAGAAATACGATATTTTCCGTGAAATTTGACAACACCCACTTAAAGGCTGAGTGGTTTAAGTGCCAAGGGGGTAGGGAAATCCAAATTTGAAAGGCTGCCTTTAAAATGCCTGGTAGTGCAAAACAGCAACACACACAGAGAATAGGTCAATTTGGAATGATAGTGAGTTATTATACCGCTAATTAGTACATGCTATTTAAATGTCAATTAACTGTACACGAAGCGTGTACTTAAGTCACAAAAACTGCATTCCTTTCTATTTGCAGTATAAGTTTGCGTCCATGTCCAGTTTTCTTAATTCCAATCGCTTCTTACCAGTATCCGAAAGATAACTATAAAATTTGAGGACTACGCCGAAAGCCATTGGCCGGTGTAAGAAAATAAATCAACCAAACTCGGTCATATTATGCATGGGTCAAACGTGGGGAGGGTAGGTATCAGTGCATGCGCGATCAAAAAATGATCGAACCAGGAATTTTGGGTCAAATTCAACAAAATTAATTTATAAAAGACGGCTTACAACCAGAAATCGCAAGGCGGCCATGAAGTCTAAGAAAAAATCAAGCAAAATGATCGTTAACATGAATTAATACTTGTTGTAACAGGGAGTTCGTGAAATGCGTCGCCAATTTGTTCTATCGGTAGTCAAAAACTGCGCTATCGCCATCTACGTTACGCATTGTGTGAGCCCCCAAAGTAAGAACACGACAAGAAGTGGACTAAAGTTGAAGTCCTCGAGATAACCTAGTGCAGCATACTTTAAAGCAAGCGAATGCGTGTGTACAAGGGTAGACCAATTAGATGGTGGTCACAAGAAAGGCATGGCTCTATTGGCTGGGTGAGTTATGAGAGTTGGCGTGTTAGTCTATCGCCTGGCAGGAGCTGGGCGCAGGTGCGTCAGACAATGCACTTTGTGTGTGGGCGGACCAGTCGTCTGGCTTGCATTGGAGTCCTGTGCCGGCCGCGTTGTCACATGCACTCTGCGTGAGTGGACCGGTGGTCTTACTTCGTTAGGGCGACGTACACTCTGCGTTAAGCTACGCCCTGACAATACTCATTGTCGTAAGAGCAAAGGTCAGCTCTGACCTCCTAGAAGTTACTGTAGACGCCCGCCAAGGAACTACAATATTGCCTAAGTTTTCCATGATATCCATGTAAACACCGAAGAAATTAAAACTATGTCAATCTAAATCATGCGGGTGTTATTCTAAGGAAAGACCTGGAAAAATATGGGGTTATGACTGTATATTTGAATTTTTATAGATGACCAGAAAACGGGGTTTTGCTGTGGTCACTACAAGTAGTGCCCCTCATTGACGGATTGTCCGCGATCAAATACTAAGTGCAAAGGCGGTGGGTTTCCAGTTAAATAGTCTCACGTCTTCCAAGAAGACTTTTCTGAATATTGGTGAGGCCCTTGCCTCTTGAAGTGATGTTAGGCTATAAAAACTAACAGGCATTTACCAAAAGCATACATTAATAAATTCAGTTGCAATTATCAGCTGCATTTGACCTCTCATGAATCTGTAGCAAAGGCATTAAATAAAAATGTGTATCCTAAAGGTAAATACGGAGGCCTATACGAGCCTATCCCGATTACTGCATGATTAATTAGAAATAAGTATGCCTTACAAAGAGCACAATTGCCTTTAAGCAGCGAGTACCCTACCGAGATGGTCGTATCCCCACGAACGTCACAAGTTGAGGCCTTTCAAAGAAACGCAGTAACAGAGAGTGTTTTTCAAATTAAACATACTTACAGTGAGATCGACATTGTTGGCCAAAACGGCGAGATCATTAAATTCCAACTGAAGTGACGCTACTTCTGCAAGACTGACAGATCTGGACCAATCAGGAAGCGAAGCTTTTAAATCTGCCAGATTTATGTCCGAATAGGGCAGTCCAGATGGGGACGTGAATGCATGTAGCAACTTGTCTCCCAGAAGGGACTGCAAGCGGATACAAACGGGAAATTAAATCAGACAGGAATACAAGTGACAAGCAGGGAATTCAAATGTAGCGCGTTTAATACTGATGACGGGTACAACTCATTAGTAAGTCGGTGAGGGAAACGTTCTTAGATTTACTTTTCTATTCAAATATGTTACGTTAGAGGACAATGAGCACAGACACAAAAAGTTCGGCTGTGAACATGCATTTGCAGAAGGAGTAACTGACAGAAGACCGGGGTATGGGAGAACCAAGGGAAGCCGAGAAGAGCATATGCTTCAGTTGAAAACCTGGCGCACTGAATTCATGCAATCCCTTGTGCTTACGTTTAATGTGACTGCAATGGCTCTTCGATATGACTACTAAGTAACCCACTAATGTGGTATGCATGGTGTACGAAAACTTAATTTTTTAAAGTTTCACCTGTGTGAAACGACAGATCAGATCGCGCGTAGGTGCGGGCGGGCTATTTTTTGCCGACGACTTCCATATTTTTTGAAAGTTATTATTGTCCTCACCGGTTGCTCTTTTGCTATGTAGCAAAAGCGACCGATGGTGTCGTCCTGGACTTAGCTGACCTATGGCCTGAAAAGAAACTGCAAGATTTTCGGCTAATACAGTAATTTTAGTTATCGGTAGAGGCCGATATTCCTTGCAGATGTCTCATAGACTGTAAAGGGTAATGACAACTATAAGCTGCTGTCTTAGGTCTTGGTATTCTCTCTACTGTTACATCCAGAACTAAGATCACAACAGCTGTTCACGTGCCCAGTAGAAATGAGCTGAACAGCGCAACGATACATTTTATAGACCAGTTTTTGACGCACAGATAAATATACTTGGTAGCCTGGTTAGTGGTTGATTTGAGACGTTCGGGGTGACCTTTGAATTACTGCATAGCTTATGCGAAATGATTGCTTGGCCGTCGGCTCTGGTAATGCGATCCACATACCGCATCTAACAGAGTCGCAGTACCAACCAGTGACCAAGGAATAGGAATGAAGTTGCTGCTTTGATTTGAACTCATGATAGCAAACTTAGTATGTGTAATTTACGAAAGTAACAAATGACAACATCATATTGGCGAAAATGAGCATGGAGTACTAATGGAACGTCTACAAACGCCCGGCACCCGACCATCAAGTTTCGGATTGAACAGCCAAATTTGCTTACTGGTCGTCCACAGCAGTATAACTGGGTTATTTGGTATATCCATTCTCGTTTGTATCGTTGAATTTTAGTTTACAGACTTGTTAAGTATATTCAGGAAGGCCTAATGAGCATGGGCTAAATCAACTGAAAACTAATTAATTTATGCATTGGCACTATTTGATAGGGAATACGCTACCCTCCGCGATAAACAGTCAGTGGCTACAGGAAAGACAGAGTAAGGAGGATATCGTCGCCAAATTGATGGTATTTGGTGAGATAAGCTCTACAATTGAGTTGCTCGGGAAGTGCTACACAGACAGGCAAAAAATGGAACTATTGGTTTAATGGTACTTGAAAGCAACTTATCTGAGCGAAGTATTCAAAAGTCCGTTCAACGACGATAATTCTCGATTCATTGCGAAGACACAAAAATCCGTCGAGAAAAGAAAGTGTATGCAATCTGTATGTATAGTGCTAATGGCTAACACCCGGCACGAAAAGGGCGGTCACGATCCTGAGAAAGTCTTTAGATTAGTCTCATTCAACCATCACGGATGAAGTAAATAATGACGGCCAGCAACGCCGTCACCAATCACGACTTATTAGGAGCCAGCAGTCGGAACATACATGAGACTGGTTAGATGATACAAAATAGCCCGAAATTTATGTAAAAGATAAATATAAAAGACTGTGCTGTCTGGCAATTGCACCGTCACACTTACCGCCTTGACCATAAATACGCCATCGTTAGATAAATGGTAGGCACTTAGTAATCCACCCAAAAGCCTTATAGTGGACTCAAACACACTAACACGATCATTGTTCGAATCAAACTGGACGTATTTGTCAATCCAGTCCTTAGCTTCATTGAATTCTTGGGTCATTTTGAAAATATGAAGGGTATCAAGTGAGTCAATCATCGTGAGAGCGGCATTCATCCAAAATAATCCGTGCATCGTCACAGGATCGACCTCGTCTTTACCTTGAAGAAATTTGATCCAGTTGGAAGGACAAACCCCAAGCGTATAACTTGTAAGCCTTCCAGGAGTGATGCATAGCCTCACGCAATTGCACAAGAATATCTACGGAATCTGATTGTAGCGTTGGTATATGAGAGGTAGTCCTGGTAGCTCGTTGGATATCCAATTTTGAGGTGAGATTGGGGCTTAAAAGTGAGTCCCGGGGTTGCGCATTACTTGGAAGCTGACCAGAAAATTGGAACAGCAGCAAAAGTCCAAAGAGGCAAACGAATGCAGTATAAATGGCCCGGCGCGAAATGGCCCGACGAGCGAAGACCGTTCGAATCTATTAGCTTGTTAAGAAATGCTTCAAACACTCACAATGCAAGATTTCATCGCATCAATAGCCCCCACTTCCATGTTATTACACTATTGTGTAACATATAAATTGTGTCCACGCCCGACCTTGAAAGTTTCAAACGGATTAAGCAATTTTTTCCGCAGCAAATGCACCAAGAGCGGATCGCGAAAATTAGTAAATTGCAGATTTCACTGAAATTGACTTTGTTGGCAAGTTTTTAATGCAACCATATCAAATGCTTTTAAATTCAGGGTTAACTGCTCTCATAAATCTAAAGAACTACGAAAGGAGAATTAGAAAATAGGGGGCAACGGTTACCGAGACCACAGATGACACACAACCCGTCCGGAATCAATACCAGCGCTTAAACGTGCCATAAGGTCGAAGCATGTTGGAGTCCAAGACCGTTTAAGGGAAGCCGATTCG